AACATGCCACGAGTACATGATGTGCTTTATTTGAGGTTGAAAATGGCCCCATATACTTATTTCACAGTTGTGCTGGGTTTCCTAAAAGTAGTAGAGAAATAACGTACTCATTTTAGGGGTAGTTCCCATATAAGTTATCTGAGTGGAAAATGGAGAAAATTCTATAAGCACCATATAATTGAAAAGAGGGCCTGAAAACAAGAATAAAAGTGGTTTTCAAATCATTTTTTTGGATTTGATTCATGGTTTTCAACCCGACACTGGAATCTAAAATTCAGTAAAGGAGCTGAAGTACCTGAGTAAAACATACTCTGGTGAAACAAAATAGAAACACTTTTTTGATGAAAATCGTGAACCAATAGCCTGTAGTTGGCATATAATAATATCTAACTTATGAAAGCTTTCTTTTCTTATTTTTTTATGTAATATTCATCCTTAAGTGCTTACCAGTTTTTCCCATTCATTCTGCAATAAATATGAAAGCAGCCAAAGGAAACGCATAATCACCAAGTCATAATGAGACACCATTTGTAAAAGAATTATAACAACATCCTGCGGACTAGCAGGTTCTGTTCAGTTTGGTCCACAAGTAAAAAGGAAGAGGAAGAGAAAAGATCACAGAAGTGTTCAGATTTACATGTTGTGACTTGAAAAGGAGAAAGAAACTTTGAAGCTGAGTTCCTTCCAAGTTTGGAAGGAATTACGTGGAACATTCATTGTTTAAGGGGCTCAGAATAAAATGGCAGACGAGAAGAAAAAGGTAACTGGATTCATCAACAACAGGGGACAAGATTCTGTGCTTTCAAAGTGTTTTTCAGTTAACTCTACTTCTCCTTTTCCTTTCTCTGCTATCCTTGTCCTTCTTCCCCTCCCTTTGCTGGAATTTTCAGTTTCGTGGAGGCTCACAAGAATGTTTTGGTGGTGATGTCTGGCTCAGTGCTGTACAGGTTTCACTTTCCTGAAGACTCTTAGGGGAGATGGATTAAATAAGTATTTTTAAATACTAATTTAAATTTCTTCTTAGATTTCTTCTAAAAAAGAAATCCTCCTTAATGTGACATCTTAACCTGAAAGAGAAATTTGATGTACTTCCAGTGGAGGGAATACTGTCCTTATCGCAAAAACATAAACAAAAAATAATTGATTTTTTAAAAAGTGATAGCATTAAATAATCAGTCTAAATGTGTTGATGCTTGACTGTGGAACTGAAGAACAGCTGCCTAACCAGTGGGCATTTACTTCTGGCATTATTTTCTCTGTCCTTACTCCATCCAGAAATAAATCATCCTTGGAAAGGATGGCCTGGGGAGATAGAGCCCAGTCCTGACTCTGTCCTGGTTGTGGTTGCAGCTTACTTTCCTTTTACTTCGGTTATCAAATTATGAAATAACCAGGCAGGAAAGTATAGAGGAAACACTATGTCCTGTTCCTTTAACCCAGAAAGCTGACAGTGCTAGGACATTATCTTCCAGACAGGGGGAAGGAAATGTAAAGAATACAGGAGCCCCCAACATAATGACTAGCATCAGTAAGGAATCCATATTTCATTATCAGAGATCTATAGATTTGAAAGCTGTTAAGGATTACATGAGAAAAGAGATTAACAATTTTTCTCTGTTGGATCACATAGAGCTGAACATATAAATGTGGATACTAAATGCCATCTTTCCTGATTTTGCTCCTGAACCCATTATCTTTCCTTAAAATCATATCCCTTGTTAAGATATTTCTATTTCAATTAATATCCCCCTTATTTTGCTGATGACTGTTCATGAAATCTTGAAGGAAGACAGGTTTTTCCCCACCTCTTTACCCTGGTGATTTTTTTTTAACCTCTTCTATCCAACCCTTCCTCTTAATTTCTCATGTAGCCAACCTCATTTCTGCACTGTTGAAATTACTTCTTAGATCCCCATCCACTTCTGTCACACTAGCATTGGGTTATAAGATTAGTCTTCCTAAAACCTTACTTTGCTCACTTTCCTCCCTTCTAAGCTTCAAAAATCGTAAATGGTCTCTCCTGTTTACCATCCAGATGTATGGGGACCACCTTTCACTTGGGTTGACTCTTTTGAGATCATCAAGAGGATCTCACTGATACTAATTAGCAGGGCTGTCCTTTTCCCTTGTTGGGTCAGGGGAGTGGGGCAGAGGCTGTGCCTATAAGGCTGGATTGATGGAAGAGGTGTATTTTCTGCCTCATTGACACTAACAAGAGAGAAGTATGGTAATGACATTCGACTTGGAGTTCTATTAAGGGAATCTTTGAGGTCTACTGGAGGATTTGAATCTTCTTGTTAAAGGCCTGCAAGATGCGTATGGACTCATCTATTGTTTATGACCTTTGGCAGGTTGGCACCTGTCATCCTCTCCAAGCTCTTTTTTTCCATTAATTATGTATAGGAGACCTCTGCTACAGCCAAAATGTTTTTGTTTTCTGAATACAGATATCCATTTCCACACCACTGATTATAATGCCTAGGTTGGCCTTTCTTTAAACCACACACTATCCCAGTGTTACCCCTCCAAACCTTTCTTTGTGATTACCACTGCCATAAATACCGTCTGAACTTCTGAAATTTAACACCCTTTGCTTTCCAATATAAATTTTGTTTATTCAATAAAAATTTACTGAGGGCCTGTTAAGTATCAACTTAACAGGGTATTCAACTGAAAAAGACCCTTTACTTGTTCTTAGGAGTTGACGTTTTAGCTAGGGAAACAAATTTATCAACAGGTACATTGGAAGGAGATGGTGTGGGATTCAGAAGAGACAAGTAAGCTAATGTGAGAGAGGGAGGAGATAAGCAGGGAAGGTTTTCTGTAGGAAAGCAATTTTCAGAACTAAACTCGCCCAACATGGGACATCTAGGTTACTCAGTCTGTTAAGCATCTGCCTTCTGCTCAAGTTATTATCCCAGAGTCCTGGGATTGAGTCTTATCAGGCTCCTTGCTCAGTGGGGAGCCTGCTTCTCCCTCTGCCTTCCACGCCCCATGCTTGGGCTTTCTCTTTCTCTCTGACAAATAAATAAATAAAGTCTTAAAAAAAAAAATCTCCCAATATTTTGTGGCGGTTATGTTTTGATCCATATCCTTTTAATATTTAAAGCTTTTTTTTTTTCTTGGTCTGAAATGTTAACTTTTGTAAGTATTTATATACCTAATGGTTGTGGCAACTAGCTACTTATTATCTCATCAATAATGGCTTTCCAGATGTTGAACCAAGAAACACCTCTCAGCTCTCTCTTCAGACTGAATAAATCTAATTTCCTCACAGGTGCCACAAGCTGTTACTGATTATCCAAAATTTTTATACTGCTAAGTCTAAAAGAGTGCACTGATTTGAAAAAACCAGATTACTGGGCTTTTGTTACAACCAGATTGTGATTCAGTGGGGCAGCGTGAGGCCTAAAGTTCTGTATTTCTAAGAAGCTTCCGGTGATGCTGAAGCTGCTCATAGATTGAACATGTTTTGAGTAACAGGGTTTTAGAGGATGTAAAGAGTTAAAGAATTAATGATAAAAACAAGTTGAGGTAGGTTTTGCTTTACTTAAATAGATGTATCCTGCAGTCTCTCTATCCTGTTAACTTTATTTACTCCAGCTAATTTAAATCAACTAATTACCCAGCTGGGTTGGGCTCCTGTCCCTGCACCCAGAGGCAGTGAGTTTTGCCCGTGATCTGTCTGGGAAGCTTCCGCTCGCCACCCCCAACTCCACCCTAGGGTGTGAGTCTCCCTGTCATGGAGCTATGATCGGGCGCGCACCCACCTACTGGAGGCTGTGATATGATTCCCTGAGGCCCTCCAGGTCCTGAATAGTAAGGAACCCCTGTCTTTGCAGAGGGAGGTGTTCCTTTTGGCATTCTGCCTTCATCCAACTGGTTTCTCTAACAGTTGAGTTCCAGGAATGGCATCTGAGGCTGTCTGTATCCTACAATGTGTAATCAGGAACTGGCAGAGAATTCATCTTTAGCTTTTAAGATTCCTGTTAGGAATTTTCATAACATGTAGGAGCCTTGGCAGCTGAGTGACCTGGCCCTGACCCGTAAAGGGACCTGCCAGGGTGAAATGCAACTGTCTCTTTACTCTGAGTGTTTCCCCCTGATGATTTTCTCTGATTCTTTTACTGACTCTTCTGTTCTGCATGTATTCTTGTAAACTGCAGACAGGAAAACAGTTGCTACAGATAATTTGTTCCTGAGTCTTTACAACCAAAGTTAGAATTATTTCTGCCGTCTTCCTGGGGAACTCTGCTGTGGAATTCCCCACCCCCCCAAGACTGGATTGCAACAATGGCTCTTAGATTGAAGAGATCTGTCTCAGTACAAAGTGGAAAATGTTGATGACGTCAGGCTGGAGAGGTGGAGGTGGTAAATGGCCTGGTACAGTGATTTTCAGACTTCCAGCATGTATCCCCTAGGGGCTCTGCACCCCTAGAGTTTCTGATTCGGCAGGTCTGGATTGAAACCCAAGAATTTTTAACACCCTCATCCCTTCCCATGTCTTATGATGTGGTTACATAAAAGGAACTGGGGATAATCAAGGAGGCTGGGCACATGTTCACAGTAGCCCATGCATCGTTCATTACCTCTCAATTCTGGCAGATTTGTTAGTTGCTTTAAAAAAAAAGTAAAACAGACCCAGGGAAACACCGCCTCTTCGAATGTTCCCGTGTAGCTAGTGAGTGCCTGTTTGTGGTAAACCTAGGTTACATCCTTCCGAGGCTTCTTGGTTCATAGGACTAGAGACCTGATCTTTTTAAGGAAGAAGATAGAGAAGCATAGGATTAGGGCAGCTGTGAAAATGAAATTGGGTTTTTGACAGCTGAGATAGCAAAAGAGAAGGGGAAGTTTGGTTGGTCTGGCTATTTCCATCCTGGTGTTCACATCCCTTAGGTATACCTAGCTGACATCATAGGAATAAGACGGTTGATCCTATGTGGGTTTTGGAGAGTATTTCTTGTTATTAAATGTGACTAAGGCGATATTCTCTACTGAAGCAGTTCTGGAGCATCCCAGGAGGGACACAACGATCTTGATCTTGGTCTTGGTGAACTTCCTTCGGATGAGGAAGAAGACATCAACAGTTCTGACGAAGACGATGTCAGCTCTGACTCTAGTAAAGGGGACCCTGACCTGGGAGACAAACAGGTATATGTTACTATTTAAGTGTTTCTACTTCTGTGTTTGTTGGTCTCATAATATTTGGAAATAATATTTATCAGCATGACAGGCACAAAATCCCTAGTTATTTTTTTTCTTAAAACTTATAAAATATTATCTAAGTTAAAATTAGTTTCTGTTATAATGTAGTACCTAAGATTATCACATTTCTAAATGCACATCACTTAGAGTTTAGTAATTTTTTTGAGAAATTTATTTTTGGCACTGTCCTTTGGTTTTCCTTTTGATAACGGAAATCCCCTCTGAGGATTGTTCCTTCTATTGCTAGCAATTCTACTTGAAAGAAGGGAATTAGATGCATTTCAGACTTAATGAAATCTTTTTAGAGATAGAAAAAGGCTGCGATTAATAACATATCAGGATTTCCTTTGAAGTAATTCAGTACTTGTATTTTCAGTATACATGAAACAAGATTGGCCACATCTTGATAATTATTTAAGATATGTCAGGACATGGAGGTTCATTATATTGTTTCTTTAGTTTGACAGGAACGGTTCACTGTGAATATATATTTTTTTGAATAAAGGCATAATTACAAAGGAAAAAATAGTATATTAAGAGTAACCCCACAATATGTTGAAACATTACAGCAAGACAGAATTTGAAAGGATCCTCATAGCAAGCCTATCAAACCATAGAGGAGAAAATCCATGTTTCACCTAACTTCTATGCCATAACTTACCAAGCAGTTGCTTTCTGTTTAATATATTTTAGCTTTTTAAAGTTTATTTCAACTTGAAATGAATGGCGTAAGTTGTGTAATTGTCTAGTTTTAAGTACCAGCTCCACCACATACAAGCTGGTTGAGTAACTGCAGGCAAATTATTTAATATCTTTAAGCTAAAGAGCCCCCGTTTTATAAAGAAAAGGATCTATCTCAGAAGTATGAGGACTTAAATGATTTGATTTGTGTAAAGCCTTAGAACACTGTTCAGTACATGGTAAGAACTCAGTGATTATTTGTTTATTTCTTTTAAGACTTTATGCTGTAAAGTATTGAATCATAGAGTTGGAAGTAACCACTAGAAATTATTTAGCCTTAAGGTCTCTGAGTGTGTAAAGTACCTAAGCCAGATGAGTGACTGTTCTTAAAGGCCCAGCGTATACTTCAGCAGTGTGTGGGTTTTTACTTTGACTATTAAGTAATTCCTCTGGTGTTTTACTGCTACGTGCTATCTCTGATTTGAAAACTCACTTTCCTTGTCGCTGAAGATCACATATATAGATGGTACAAATATTTGTAAAATACTATTTCCCAGATACATACCAGGCATAAAAAGTATGTACTAGACATAAAGCAGTGTTCAAGGATTTTGTTCTTGAACAGCTTACATCCCAATGGGACAAGAGGGGCCATATATTCACTAGAATAGTGAGAACTTCAGATTATTATGTGCTATGAAGGGAATAAAAAGAGCAATGTGCTAGAAACTAAGGAGTCTACTTAGTATAAAGCCTCAAAGAAAGTGATATTTGACTGAGGAATAAATGCCTAGGAAGAGCCAAACCCTGTAGGATTTGGGGAAGAGGCTTCCAGTGGTCTTCCTCTCCAAGGGCCATAATTAAATCAATCTTCACTGTCTTAGATAAACTACAAGTTCTTTTTCTAACAAGTACTGCTTCCTGTTGTTTGGGTCTGTTTGTTGCTCTTGTTCAAACCCTTTCTGATTTCTCCCCTTCTTGAAGTATGGCACCAAAAGTGGTGTCCACGTTCTACTAGGAGTCTCACTGACATACCGTATAAAGGAACAATTTCTCTCTACCCTTTTGTGTTATGCATCTTTTCAACACATCCTGTCACAACACTACCTGGTTGACTCATTCATTTTGTGGTCATTGGAGACTTCCAGAGTTCCTTCCTCTGTGTTTATACCGGCCTTTCCTTTTCTTTTGTTTTGTTTTGTTTTTTTTTTAAGATTTTTTAAGATTTTATTTATTTATTTATTTGACAGATCACAAGTAGGCAGAGAGGCAGGCAGAGGGGGAGGAGGAAGCAGGCCCCCTGCTGAGCAGAGAGCCCGATGTGGGGCTCCATCCCAGGACCCTGAGATCATGACCTGAGCCGAAGCAGAGGCTTACCCCACTGAGCCACCCAGGGGCCCCTCCCTTCTGGTTTTATGTTATTGGTTTTTGTCTTTAGTTGTGCCACCCACTGCAGTATGTCTCTTAATATTTTTCTGTTTTTATTTTATTTTAAAATATTTGTTTGAGAAAGAGTGAGTGAGAGAGCAGACTTGAGCAGGGTATAGGAGCACAGGGAGAGGCAGACTCCCCACTGAGCAGGGAGCCTGATTTGGGACTTGATCCCGGGACTCCAGGATCATGACCTGAGCCAAAGGCAAACGCTTAACGGATAGAGCCACCCAGGCGCCTATGTTTTTCTGGGTTTTGTTTGTTTATTTGTTTTGTTTTAAAGATTTTACTTGCTTTTTTGAGAGAGAGAGAAAACGGGGAGGGACAGAAGGAGAGGGGGAAGCAGGCTCCCCACTGAGCAGGGAGCCTGACAGTGGGCTCAACCCCAGGACCCATGGATCATGACTTGAGCCCAAGGCAGATGCTTAACTGACTGAGCCACCCAGACACCCCTATTTTTCTGTTTTTAAAATGAGATTATTTCTTCAGTTAACCATTGACATTTAATATTTTTATATGTTCTTCTAATGTATTAATAATTTCCCTCTTTTAGAGCTGTTGGCCCACCTGACAAGGTTACTCTCTGTTCACCTGAGACAGCTGTGGCAATAATTAAAAGAGCTAACTCTCCTTTTCTAGATGGTTACTGATCCATTTAAGCATAGCCTGGTGAATGCTTTTCTCCTAAGTAATTTGCTTTCAAAGTGGTTAAGAACAGCGTGGTCTTCAGGTGCCTGGGTGGTTCACCTGTCTTTGGTTCACATCATGATTTCAGGGTCTTGGGATTGAGCCCATATTGGGCTCCCTGCTCAGTGAGGAGTCTGCCTATCCCTCTCCCTCTGCACCTCCACCCCACTTGTGCTTGCTCACTGTTTTCCTCTCTCTCTTTCTCAAATAAATAAATCCTTTTTAAAAAAAAAGAAGAGGAAGAACAACAACACAGTCTTTGAGGCTGGATTGCCTGGGTGCTTATCATTTATCAACTCTATGATCTTGAGCAATTTCTTGAGCAATCTTTGTGCGTTAGCTTCCCCACCTGTAAAAAGACGAGGGAGTAGGGTAGACACTTGTTTTTCTTTTTCCTTTTTTTTTTTTGACACTTGTTTTATTTTCCAAGATTGTTGTGATGATTAAGGTTATACACTGTTTAAAACAATTCTGACACAAATTGCTCAACAGATTTTAGCTGTTATTATTGGCATATTTAAAAAGAAGCAAGCAAAATTTTAAGTATCTCTAATCATTCCTTGTTTATCAAAATATAGTTTGAAACTTACCTTTTCTTATCTTTGATGAATAAATCGGAAACATGTTTACATGAAAGGTAATATTGTTTTCTCACAAAAACATGAAATTTGACATCCTAAGACCTGTGCTTCAGTCCTGTCTCTGACACTTACTAGGCAATTGACCTTGATCAAATAATTATTTTAAGTACTTTATTTACACCAATCTCATTTCACAATAGATTACAAGTAACAACAAAAAAAAATGTATGTAATACAAAAAGTCAAAATATGTAGTTAAAGAAATCAAGGGGTTAATAAATTGTGCTGGAGCTATTGAACATCCATGTGCCAAAGAATAAAGTAGATGTCTTCCTTTGCTCTTACACAAAAATTAACTCAAATGGATGATAGACTTAAATGTAGGAGCTGAAACTGTAAAGCCCTTAGAACAAAATAAAAGAATAACTCTTTATGACTTTGGGTAGTCAGAAGCTGCATTGATGCAACAACAAAAGTATAAATGATGGGAGGGAAAAATAGCCAAATTGGACATTATCAAAATTAAAAACTTTTGTGCTGCATATAGTACCATCAAGTAAATGAAAGGATAACCCACAGAGGAGGAGAAAATATTGGCAAACATCTGTAATGAAGGACTTATATCCTGAATATATAAGGAACTCTTACAACTCAATCATAATAAAGAAATAACCCAATTTTTTAAAATGGGCTAAGGGTGCTAAATGAGAAAAATATACAGCGAAGGATACTTTATCCAGCTAGGATGTCATTCAAAATAGAAGGAGTGATTAAAAAGCTTCCAGGACAAACAGAAACTAAAAGACTTTGTGATAATCAAAACATCCCTACAAGAAATATTCAGAGGGGTCCTATAAGCAAAGAGAGAGCCAAAAAGTAACATAGACCATAAAGGAACAGAAACAATATACAATGACAGCCACTTTAGAGGCAAAAGAATGGTAGTAAATTCATATCTTTGAATAGTTACCCTGAATGTAAATGGGCTAAATGCCCCAATCAAAAGACACAGGGTATCAGATTGGTTAAAAATCTGCCATCAATAGGCTGTCTGCAGGAGACTCATTTTAGACCCAAAGACACTTCCAGATGGAAAGTGAGGAGGTGGGAAGCCATTCATCATGCTAATGGACATCAAAAGAAAGCTGGGGTGGCAATCCTTATACCAGACAAATTAGATTTTATTTATTTATTTTTTAAGATTTTATTTATTTGACAGAAATCACAAGTAGGCAGAGAGGCAGGCGAGGCGGGGGGGAAGCAGGCTCTGAGAAGCAGTGGGGGGAAGCAGATGCTGAGCAGAGAGCCTGATGCGGGGCTCAATCCCAGGACCCTGGGATCACAACCTGCTGAAGGCAGAGGCTTTAACCCACTGAGCCACCCAGGTGCCCCCAGACAAATTAGATTTTAAACCAAAGACTGTAATAAGAGATGAGGAAGAACACTGTATCATAATTAAAGGATCTGTCCAACAAGAAGATCTAACAATTTTAAATATGCCCCTAACATGGGAGTGGCCAATTAAATAAACTAACAATTAATAACAAAATTAAAGAAACATGTTTA